CAGGTAAGTTAAGGTAAATAACTATAATGTGTACAAAGTCGGGTTTGAACATCTGTCCGTAGGAACAAGAACTAAATATTTTCCAGTTTTGCGTTAGGCTGGAACAGTAAAGCATTTTTGTCGTTTCATAACACGTTCTTAATTTTCAAAACATATTCTTAATTTTCATAAAACATTTGTTCTTAAATTTAAGAGCAAATTTGTTTTGTAAATTGCTTCCAAACACGTGTTCTTAAAATTAAGATGGATTTTTTTTACAGTGTAATTAATTATTAACAAGATGGTTATTTCCAAAAGTCCTCGTGGTGTCGTTGTTTGCAATCAGAACCCCATCATACATGTACTCGTTTGAACCGGAATTTTAGGAGGAAGACGAAGGTGATTCCAAAAATGTTTTTTCCTTCAAGGAGAGAAAATATTTTTAGGAAGTGCGAGACACAGTGGTCTGACAGTTTAAACTGTCATACACTGATAAACCAAGTGTACAACTGCTCAACACTTGCAAGTGTGCAACCACAAGTTCAATACTTGCAAGTGTTCAATTCAGTAGAAGTAGACTTGCAAGTGTTTGTGCACTTGTAAGTGTTCAACTCTCCTGTTGTACACTTCACTAGATCGGGCGCTTACTGTGAGGGAAGTGTTCAACAGAGGAGTTGCACACTTACAAGTGCACAAATACCAAGTTAAACACTTGCAAGTGTACTACAACTAAATTGAGCACTTGCTAGTATTGAACTTGCGGTTGCACACTTACAAGTGTTGAGCAGTTGAACACTTGGTTTAACAGTGTACTGTCTTACACTTGATTTTGCAGAGCAACCTCTTAGAATGCCAAAACTTGTCAGTCAGAAAGGACTGCAAGCAAAGCGCTGATGGCGTTCTAGAGTGCTAGGTCTGCAGTTAAAACTGCAGTGCACAAGTGCTGTCATTTGTGTGTGTAAGTTTTCAGAGTGGCGGGTGGCCATTGCAATGTTGTTACGTGCAGAAGTATTCCTGCGCGAGGGATGCATGATTCAGGTTAGTTGATCACACGATGCACCGAGTGTAAAGGCTAATACTCCCCAGTGTTGCGGGTATGCATGCCCAAGGGGCCGCAAGGGGCTATGGCGCCTTACGGGCAGATCGGGTAGGCAAACCCGCAACACTATGGTGTACTGCTTTTACAGGCGGTATGAAACAGGAAACCCGGGTCTATCTGTATCGTGGGTGCTACTCACCTCACCTGGGCAAGTGCACATGCACACATCTGAAATTCACCATCAAAAGTTCAAATCTCAATCCTAGATATTATTTTCTTTACGGCGTAAACGCCGTTTTGACGCACTTTGAGGTGATATGAGGACTCGTTTGCTAGGGGGGCGGCATCTGCTGCTTCTCTCACGGGCCAGCTAGCCACACCTCGCACACAGTGTTGAATCAGGGGCGGGGAGGGGTAGGTGGCGGGGCGAAGCGGGGCGGGGTGGTCGCAAGGCGGTCGCGGCGGCAGGCCCGCTCTTTATTTGCTTCGTTACCTCACCTCCCCGGGCCTTAGGGGCCGTAGGGGTGCCTGCCTCCGGCCCGCTTCCCCTTCACTGCTCCACTTCCCCTACCCTCTTACTCCGCCCCCTTCCACCTCCGCCGCACATCTTTCTTCCTCCTTTTCCAACTCCCTTCCCTCATGCCCCAAATCTCTACCTCGTACTTGCTCAGATCCACTTTCTCATACCTCAATATTTGGGATTCGCAGCACAATTCCCCCTTGCCAACGTCTCTTTATCCTCGCCTTTATTATACCCGACTTGCTTTCATAGCTTCCTCATTTACAGCGAATCTCTACTACCTCATCAACCTCAACCTCAACCCCACATCTTCCGTGCTCGTGCTCACACTTCTTACATTCGACGAACTGCTAGTCGCCCATTCTGCAGTGAAATCCTTCTCTCTCTCTCTCTCTCTCTCTCT